GCCGGTTCGATCCCCGGCTGCTCCCCGGCCACCAGAGGAGGGTCCCACATGGCGCGCAGACCTCTCCTGCCGCCCGCTGCTCCCCTCAGCAGTGTCCTTCGGTCCTTCTGCCTGCTCTGCTCCCCGCTCTGGCGCTGATGAATTCTCTCACCCTCCCACGCTTCTGACTGTACCCAGTGCTTGTATAAATAAATAAATAAATTTAAAAAAAAAAAAATCCTGGTAGTGAAATAAAAAGATACACAGATCAACCAAAAAGGATTGGAAACTCATAAATAAAATCATACCAATGTATGGTTTATGACAAAGGAGCTTCGAGCATGCGGGAGAACAAAGAATGTCTCTTCAATAAATGGTGCTGGTGAACGGGGCCACTACACGCAAAATACTGGAACTAGCCCACTGTTGCACGCCAGACACATGAGTTGATTCAAAAGGGATCCCAGGCTTGGATATAAGACCTGGAACCATAAAATGCATAGAAGAAAACTGGGGATTCTCCCCTTGACACTGACTCCGCGCTCGCCGCAAGGGAAACAAAAGCAAAAATAAGCAAATGGGGCCACAGCAAAGTAAACAGTTTCTGTATCAGATGAAAAGGTTTCCTCGAGAGGGGAGAAGCCCTGACACGTGACACTTCCCACAAGGGGTTGACATCTGAAATACACGAAGACCTCATAGCACCCAACAACAAAACCGAACTTTTTGATTAAAAAGTAGCTCGAGGATCTGAATAAAGACTAACCCAACGGCGACACGCAGAGGAGCAGGAGGCATTGACAGAGAGGCCCAGAATCTCTCCTTTCTTAGGGAAGCAAAAATCAAAACAAGGTGTCACCTCACACCTGGGGGAACAGAACGGCTGTTCCCTGAAAGCCAAGAGACGCATATATTCGCTTTCCCGCCTTCAGGTGTCCAACTGGGGGGAAAACACAAGAATGAGCTGCCGCCATTCTATTGCCAACCAGGAGGAGTTTGCATTGTCCAGGAAAGCAAAGTGTGGCGCCCGGAAGGGACACGGGCTGCCGTTCGTGACCAACTCTCGGTGGGCACAGCGGCAACAGCGCGAGTTCAAGCGTGGGGGGGACCTGGGAGCTAAAGCTGGTAGCAATGTGTTCTGGAAAGGGCGCCTGGCCCCTGCTCCCATGGAGAAAGCGGCCCCGGGCGGGGCGGCCCCTCTTCCCCTTTTTATCTCCCCGGACTCTGCACCGTCCTAAAGCTCCCCGGGGACACCAACTTGCTCATCTTTTGCACCAAGAAACCAACCGCACCAGACTTTGCAACCCGCGCGTCTCCACGAAATCAGCCAACACCACAACCGGGCGCGACCTGGCTGCGGCCGGGGCTCCTGGCTTCCTGCGTGTTTCCAGCCAGGGAGCAAACCGCGCTGCAGGCTGACGGGCCGAGGCTCAGCGGGCACCTGGACAGACACCTCAGTCTGCTCCCCCACCCCGGGGCGGGTCTTACTCGCCGAGCCTTTAAGTGTCCCAATTCTTCGGACTCCTCCGAGGCTCTCGTTTCCTTGCAGAGTCCTGGCCCAAACATTCTCGCGCCTTCTTGTTTTCTAGTGCAGTAAAGTACACGTCACAGCACTGGCCATTTTCTGCACTTTCCGCCGTGGTGTCCAGTGCACTCGGGGCCTCTGTGGGTTTCACAGACAGCGACAGCGACTCTGACGCCTCTCCTCAGCCCAGGCCTCGTCCCCAAAACCTCTCCCCTCAGCCTCTCCTTTGAGATATTCCAGCCTCCAGGGTTCCCTTAGGTGCAAGCAACGTAAATCAAATGCAGCCCGTTGACGAGAAAGGCAGTATTGCATGGAAAGCATCGGGGGTGGCTTCCAGCACACAAGCCTCTCCCAACCGCAAAGCAGACCTGTCCCCTGGACACCACTGCACACAGCCGCGGGGCCACGGGCCCTGCAACTCGGGCCTCCGCAGCTGGGCCCACCGGAGCCAGGGACTGGATTTTCACGGCTTTCCCTTCCCACCTCACCGCCTCCGTCGGAAGTCCGGAGAAGAGTGTCCAGCAGACAGAGCCCAGGCTCGTTCAGCGCTGGGTCAGCTGCGGGAGGGGCCTCCGTGCTGGGCACAGCTCACCTCCCCGCGGCGGGACTGTGCGCACAGGGCGGGGGCTGGGCTGTCGGAAAGGTCTGATGTATTTTTTTCTGTTTTTCAAGCAATATTATGAACTTAATGTAAACTCCTGGCATCTCTCCCAAGGCTTTTCTTCAGTTCTCCCGATCACCCAGGTAGGAGCGGCGGTTGTTGAGGCATCGCTCCACATTCCCCCGCACAGCCCCCGCCAGCAACAGCCCATGAGGGTCTCGTGTCCACCCCCTTCCCTCCAGCTTCACTCCTCTCAGCCAGCTCCACACACGATTTCCCCACTTGGCACTGCTAACAGGTGTCGCCCATTAGGGGTATGATTGACTAGTGACGCTGTTTCGCGAGGAATGACTTGCGTGTGACCCGGCTCATGCATGTGAGGTGTGACACAATGATTTTCAACCCTGAAGACTCTGTGAGGCAGAGCGACCCCATGCTCTGTATTTGAACACGCTCACTGCCTCTCTAAAAACCCGTGTCCAGTAACAGTCACTTTGCATTTTCCCCCCAAAGCCCCTGAACGTCACCATCATTCTACGTTCTGGCCCAAGAGAGGCGCTACCCGGGGACATTTCACTACGTGGGTCCTAGAAGGAGGGCCTTCTTCGGCGGGGTTCTTTCACTCTGCGATGCTTTCGAGGTTCGCCCATGTTGCAGCCTGCGTCAGAATTTCACTTCTTCTCACTGCGAAGCAATGACCCATCGCGTGGACGCGCCCCTTTCTTCTATTCAGTCATCAGTTGATGGACATCTGGGTTGCTTCCCACTTTTTTCTGTTATGAATAATGCTGTTGGGAACATTCGTGTGCAGGTTTTTGTGTGAACATGTATTTGCAATTCTCTTGGACACATATCCTAGGGGACACCCTAGCTCCATTTTCACCATGTTAAGAGCTGCTAGACTGTTTCCTGGAGGGCTCTGCTGTCTTACATTCCCACAGGCCATGTGAGTGTTCACATGTCCCCACCCGCTAGGTGACACTGGCCCGTGGTTTTGATTACACCCATCCTAGTGGGTGTGAAGTGGTATCTCAGTGTGGTTTCAATTTGCAGTTCCCTTATTAGTAAGACGCTGAGTATCTTTTCATGTGCTTATGGCCATCCCGTGTCTTCTTGGAGGAATGTCTGTTCTAAACCTTTGCCCATTTCTAGGGCAGGCTGTTTGTCTCGGTTGTGAAGTGGTTTCCGTTGCGAACATGTGTTGTATATTATCAAATGCTTTCTTCTATTCAAATGCTGTTAAGGTGTTAGGGACGGAATTGTCTCCCCACTCCGATCCACATGTTTAAACTCTGACCCCTAATGTATTAAGAGAAAAGGTCCTTACGAGATAATCAATGAGATAAGGTCATCGGGTGGGGGGTGCCCTAGCCTGACAGAACTGGTGTCCTGAGAAGACGAGGGCACAATCTCTTACGCTCGCCAGAGGAAAGGCCATGTAAGGGCACGAGAAGGCAGCTGCCTGTGGGCAGGAAGAACCTTCTGGGACCAGTGTGCAGGCTCCCAGGTCTCGCGCTTCTGTCCTGAGGAACTCTGAGGACGTCTGCTGCTGATGCCACCAGAGGGCGGTGTTTCCCTCCCTCGCTGGCCCAAGCTGACCTATGCGTAAGGTGCGTCCTATTAACTGATCTTCAGACTTTGAACCAACCGTGCATTCCCGTGATCAAGGCCACTTGGCCACTGTACTTAACCCTTTTACGCTGCTGGATACCATGTGACAGTATTTTGTTGCGGAAGCTTGCACCTACATTCCCAGGACCCTTTCATACAATATTGGGGGCGTAACTGACAAAACGTGAAAGGGATCTGAGAACTGGATGTAGCCATGTACTTTGTGTTAATGTCTTGGTTTCCATTCACTGAATTCCAGCTCTGTGTTTCAAGTATCCCCCTGAGTCGAGAAGGCAAGGAGCAGGTGCCCGGGATGGGGAGTGCAGGTTCTGGCATCCTGGGCAGGCTACCGGGCCATGCTGACCCTGTTCATCTCAAATGGGGTGAACAATTAAAGGTTACCTGTGGGGGTCCAGCGACATGGTTTCTACATGTTGCCTTACAAATATACCCCCCAAATGTCTTCCTTCTCTTTCTTTAAATAATACATTAGTTGTATTCTCTGATCATATCCAAGAGCTCACGATTCTTCGGGTGTAGCAGAGAGTACACCCTACAGCAAGAGTAGGGGAGTGAAGTAGGAACGTTACCTTTTGAAAATACTGGGTCTGAATAATACCGCTCTACCTTGGATTCAGGCTGGCGATCTCTCGGCAACGCAGAGACCCTACATAGCATCAGACCTGCCTGCAGAAAGGGCACCGCCAGGGAGTTCTGCACCCCAGCTGGCACGGAGCCTCTTATGGCCCGCCACGCACCCCCTGGCACCCAGCTAGCCCCGACACACTCAGGCACACGTGCCCGTTAGGGAACGAAGTTGCAGATCCCAAAGTGGGATGAATATCAGGCCGCATTTTAATCATCCCGAGCCAGTAAGTCAGTGCTGACGGATGAAAACACAAGGATTCTGTGACAATGTGCTCTGCAAAGCCTGCAGCAGCCTAACTCTGAACAGTTTACATTCATCCATCCCTGGATTCATACAGTGAATCCGTGCTCCGGGCCTGTTCATTCAGCTGCAGCTCCTCTATAAAAAATATTTTTAATTTCAGTCGAACGAAGCACAGGCGGGAGGGAGGAGGAAGGCAGGCACTGTAAGCCTAACGCCCGCTTTTCAGCCACACCGTTGTGCAATAAAATTCATTATTTCAGTGCAAGTCCAGGAGCTGTATTTAATCATGAAGGAAACTTTAATGTCCTACCACACCACTGAGGTTCATAGGAAACTTAACAACAAAAAAAGACTGAATGCAAACTATCTTAAGACATTAACCAAACCTTTAATGTATCAATTTATTGCATATGTCAGTACAGAAAAATAGAAAGTATAATTTAAAAGAAAATTCATTGTAAAAAAACAAATGCAGATGTTTGCTTGCCATGGTGAGCCAGAACCTAACCTTCAAATTTAAGTTATAAAATTTTATTCCTGCTTCAAATGAAGTATGGTAAATAACAAAAATGGCTTACATTATGAAATTGGAATAACTTATTTCGTCCTGAACATACTTAAATATGTTGAAAACAACTTGAATTTGAACGATATGCTGTACTGGCAGGAAGTGTTAGAAGTTATGTTAAAATGCACACACTCACCCTGTCGCATGTGCGTCTCTGGCACTTTATGTAAAAAAGTGTCTCTTGTACATAGTTCTATTTTTAAATTACATTTTTAAGATACAAAATATAAATGGAGGTATATTTGTGCCACTTGGCAAAATGTGTTGACTACTATTAGGATGAATGCATTTATTTGCGTACAAACGAATATATTATTTCTGATTAGCTAAGATAAATATGCATATGTGGTAATATAAACAGAAGTGCTTCTCATTTCTCGTCTAGTCATTTAAAAAATAGATGTCTGTGCTCTAGCATTATCCAGCTTTACCTGAGTGATATGAAAATACAGAGAGAGAATCATCTGAAAGTGTCACGACTAATTTTTTTCACAGTTTTTTCCCCCACAAATGCTGTTCAACGTAATGGGAAAAGGGGAGCGGGAGGGCCGGTGAGGACGTCATCTCAACCGCGATCTGACTTAAAAGCAACTTCCAGGGTATCCTTTCCAGAAGTGTAGCTCGGATCCGCGGAACCTCGGGGAGGAAGGACGCACGGACACGCCACGCTTCTGCCGAGCTGCGGGACTCCCACTTCCTAGAGAATGCGCTTGGCCTTGGCTAGTCAGCGCCAGCGGCCGAGCCTGCTCCCGCCTCCCAGCAGACCTCAAGACACGAGACAGGAGTGTGAGCGCATCGGCGGCTGGACGCTCAGCAAGAAGGAAAACAATGTAATTCCCACTGGCCCGGGGACATGTCACCACAGCTGGAACTCGTGCGATGGTAAGAATCCACCACTCCTCACAAAAACACCAATTTAAGCGGCCCCGTAAGAAAATTGAGAAAACCATTTTCATGAAAATAGCTATTTTACAGTGGAGATGTTTGCAAACCATGGGGAGCGGCCACCCTACGAGCTTCGGGGGGGGGGGGGTTGGCTGGGGTTGCCCTGCCTTTGACTCTCACCAGCCAGCCAGGCCCCAGAAACACTGTCTGCACAGGAACTGTGTCCCGGTCCTCTGGGCGCTTCTGTCTTACAAGAATTCTTTGATCCTTACACATGATTTATTTTGTCCCGTCTCCCAGTGCCCTTTGCTGGGGTCCTTTGTGCCATCTCCCCTGGCGACCCCTTCGGAGCTAAATGACTGCACCTCGCCACATGTGACGGCATCCGAGGATTCCAAATTCACAGCAGCGTCATCCCCTGAAATCCATCCATGATCTTCCACAGCTGCTCGTGCAAGTGAGCCAGAACCACCAGAAGGTGGACGTGCCCCACTCCCGCGGAGGGCCCCGAATGGCCGGGGATGCGCGGGGATTTCGCGCTTTATCCAGACCGAGGCTTTGGCCATGAAAGTGGCAGCTTCTGCCACGCTGCCACGGCTTTGAGGGGGCGTGCCTACGTTTCCTGCTCCGCCGTGCGGGACAGCCCCCCTGGGCAGCTGGAAGGCAGGGGTACCCCGCGGCCTCTGCAGAAGGTGCTCCGGCTGGGAGAGGGTGCAGGGACGCACGCCCCAGGGCCCAGCCCGAAGCAGAGGGCGGAGGCCAGAGCTCCAGGCAGAGCAGCGCGGGCGGCAGGATGGAGGCCAGAGCCCCAGGCAGAGCAGCGCGAGTCGCACGGAGTCGGGGCTCCCCCAGGCCCAGGCTCAGCCGACACCATGGGTCTTGGGTGCCGCGGGGCCTCGCTGCACTTTGCCGGACTGGCTTTCTCTCTTCAGTCCATGCCTGCTTGGGGTCCCGGGGAGCGGAACTGCGCCGTGGGCCGGGGGTGTCCTCTCGGGCATCCTCAGGGACCGGGAGACAGGCTCCTTTCAAGAAATGGCTTTTTTTTTTTTTTTTTTTTAACGATTTATAGAAAAACACTATCCTTTGGAAGTTATGCCCACGATAATTTCTTGTTTTCAGTGCCGTCAGAGAGAGAATGTCAACAGCGTTACCTGGCAGAGGCGCTTCCAGGCCTCTCCACGGGCCGTGAGGTGCGGCGTGGGCCAAGCTGCCGCCCGGCCGGCCCCTCCGGCCCACGGGTGAGGTCAGCACCGGGCACCTTCACGCGCCGGGCGCTCCTGCTAAGCTGCCAGGGGTCTGTGTTTGGAGTAAGAGCTCCCCTGCTTTTCTAAGGCTAACCCTGGCTTCATGCTCCAGCCACTTGCAGTGGTAGCTTCTGTGCTAAAAAGCTGAAGGTTCCACTCCCACCCCCACAGGGGAACAGAAGTAAGATTTCCTACAAAGCTGCCTTTTGCTGCAGTTTTATTTCCTAGCAACTAAAGCACTAAACCAAGGAACGCAGCTCCTTTTGCTTTTGCTAACCTTTATTTTCAGAAAGCCCGATTAATGGCATCGTGGCTTTAGTGAGCTAAATATACCTAGAAACTGGGACTTAACATCAAGTGTGGGAATTTTTGTAAAACAGTACGTACAGTCCTGTAGCGACAGGCTTCCGAATTTCAATCCCCAAAGAAATTCTAAGGTTCACTCTGCCTGCTATTCGGGGGTCAGCTGCAGACTTACAAAATTGATTGAAACGAAAATTCTCTTTGCCCCCAAATTACAAATGTTAAAAAGTTCCCCTCTGTACATGAGAGCTGCAATAAAATTCCAAATTTCTTTTTTTTTTCTCGTTTTCACATGCCATGATCCAGACTGTATCTGACAAAACACGGCAAATTTATTGGAAAATGTGTCCCCTTTATTTGTAAGAAAAAGCTGGGTCTCAGCTTCACCAGAGCAAAATTCAATGGCAACCTGCACACAGCGCTCCATTTCACTTCTCGCCAACAACAAAATAGAGTTTACATAAAAATATAGAACCCAGGTTACCGGATACATTGGTAAATAACCAGTGCTATTTACATTAGAAACACTGCATTGCATAATTTCAAGGAATGTAAAATACCATCATGCATTTCATTTTAACTTTTAAGGTGAAAAAAATGCAGTTACACAATTAAGTTGCTTACCATGATTGTCCTAATATTCACTAAGGAACACACCCCAAAGCAAAGGTTTCTTGTCTCCATGGCTCCTTCCACACCCAGCCACGATCACGTGTCACACAGATTAAACCACTCTAGCAACAAGAAACTCGTGAAGATGCGATATGCTGGCGCACTGAACTAAGGATGTGGACACACCACCACAGGGAAGAGTTCGATGGACACGTATGAAATAATCCCAAGAACCAGAGTTCTCCAAATGTAAAAAACTATTTGGGTCATCTTAAGGGAGCACAGACGTCCTTTCAAAGTCTGACGTCACTCCTCGGCCAGGTACAGATGAACTAGGCCTGGAGAAAGGAACATTCTTTGTCACTCCGCACAAACTGAAACACAGCGCATCCGCGGCGAAGGAGACATTAGATAATCGTTACGTTAGACGAAGTCTTCGCCATCTCCTCGGGAGAGTGGCTCTTGATGACTTCTTTGATGAACTGTTCCAGGGCAGCGAAGTAACCCTGGCACTGCCACGTGTCGTTGTGCGTTCCGTCGGGGAAAATGGCCAATCTCTTAGTCCGAGCCGGGGAGAGTTCGTACAGCTGCTTCATCATCACCGGGGGGATGAGCTGGTCCGAGAGCCCAGAGATGAAGAGAGAAGGCATTCTGCACTGGGAGACTTTTCTGTAGGACAGAAACTTGTTTTTGTAGCACCACAAAGGCAGGTAATGCACTGGCAAGAAGGGAAACAAAGTGCTGGCCATGAGCGGGATGCTCAGAAACGTGTTCTCCACCATGATGGCGGAGATCCGGTGTGCGTTTTCGGAAGCCAGGTGAATCGCCACCGCGCCGCCCAGGGAGCGGCCGAAGAGGAAGACCTTCGTCTTGTCGAGGTCGGGTCTGGCCATGACATAGTCCAGCACGGCCTCCGAGTCCAGGTAGAGGCCCTCCTCGCTTGCCTCGCCCTCGCTCTTCCCGTAGCCCCGGTAATCCACCAGCAGGAGGTTGACCTTGAGGTTCACCAGCATAAGCAGGGCGTTGGGCAGCCTGTGCCCGACGTTGCCCGCGTTCCCGTGGAAATAGATTATAGTTGGGGAATAGGGCGCGTTGTCTCCAGTGTACCGTATCAAAATGAGATTCAGCCGCACCCCATCCTTGGTTCTGACGAACACGTTCTCGTGGGGGATGCCGGTGGGCATGGGCACGTAGAGGCGCGAGGACGGCGGCTGCTCCGGGAAGTAGAGCAGCACGTCCTGGAACTTGTACAGCGTGCCCGCGATCGACACCAACACCAGCAGCAGCGAGACGACGCCCCCGTACAGGTGAAACGTCACTATCAAAGGCAAGAGGGAGATGCGGCAGAGGGCCCAGGACCAGGACGCCAAGGCCCTCAGCCACCTCTCCACAAAGCTCCACAGCATCCAGGACTTTTCCATGGTAAGTCTTGGTAAGTGTCCTAGAGAGAGAGAATCAAAAATTCAATACACGTCCATTAGTTGGAACATCAGATCCACGATCCACCACGGCACGGCCCCGGCGCGTCCTCGGGAGCCTCCAGCCACCCCCGCCTCCCTCGGTGGCGCTGCTGCTCACTCTTCCCTTCTCAGGCCCATCTCCCTCCACTGCCTCTTGTGCGCAACCCAAAGTTGGAAGTGTTTATTTACTGCCAGGTGAATGCACCCCCGGGATTTTGTAGAAAAGCTGACGCCATGTTCTGACTGCGTGTGTGAGGAAAAGGCGCGCGGACCGCCAGCCGCCCCACCCCGGGCTGCACACCCGGGCGTGCTTGTTTCAGGCCTGAAGCGCGCGCCCCTGACCCCTTGCACCCAGTGTGTCCACACGACACCGCTGCCGGTGGCCACCGGTCTGCTCTCGGATTCTGTTTAGAGTCCACGTGAGATCACAAGGGAATTTCTCAACGAATAGCATTCATACGTGTGCACATATGTTGCAAGTACCTACATGCGCACATGCATCTTCATGCATTTATCTATCCGTGGACTCTTAGTGGTCCCCGTATCCTGGCTTTTGTGAAATACGCTGCCGTGAACGCAGCGGAGTGCGTATTTCCGAGTTAGTGATTCTCACTCTCTTTGGACAAATAACCTGAGTGGGACTGGAGGACCCCGGGCAGCTGCCCCCACGGACCTGCGCTACCTCACGTGCCCCAGCAGCGCACCAGGGCTCCCCTGCCTTCCTGACACTTGTTCTTTCTCGTCTTTTCGGTCACTGCCACTCTACGCCGTGCCTCACTGCGGTCTTGATGTGCATCCCCTTGGGGTTAGTGATGTCCAGTATCTTTTCATCTACCTGCCGACCCTCTCTATGTCTTCTTGGGAACAATGTCGATTCAGATCTGCCCATTTTTTAATCATACTGCTTGATTTTTGCTACTGAGTTACAGAAGTTCTTTATGTATTTTGGGTGTTACCCCTTAGCAGTTACATGATTTACAAAATATTCACCTATCCAGTAGGCTGTATTTTCATTTTGTTGACTTCCTTTGCTCTGCAGAAGCGTTTTAGAGTTTAATGTAGCCACATTGTTTATTTTTGCTTTTAGTGGTCCCATTTCCATGTCAGATCTAAAGTCACTGCCAGGAGCAATGTCAAGGAATTTACCCCCTGTTTTTCCTTGTAGGAATGTTATAGTTTCAGGTCTCATGTTCGAGCCTTTAATCTGAGAGCTAACTGTGTGTGATGTGAGACAAGGGCCCAGCTTCATTTCTCTGCACAAAGCTGTCAGTTGTGCCATACCATTTATTGCACATTCTTGGCTCCTTTGTTGCAAAGTTACCAACCACATAAAAATGGGCTTGTTCACAGGTTTTCTACTCTGTTCCAGTATCTGTGTGTCAGTTTTTATGCCAATGCCATACTGTTTAGGTTACTACAGCTCTGTAATATAGCTTGAAGTCAAGGAGCAGATGCCTACAACTTTATTCTTCTTTCTCAAGATTGCTTTGGCTATTTGAGATCTTCTGTGTTTTCATATACATTTTAGGATTATTTGTTCTATTTCTGTGAAAAATTCCATTAGCATTTTGACTAGTACTACACTGAATCTGATAGCTCTGGGTAGTATCGCCATTTTAACAGTATCAACTCTTTCCATGAGCATGGAATTTCTTTCATTAATGCCTTAAAATCTTCAGTGCACAGGTCTTCCCTTTCCTTGGTTAAATGTATTCCTGAGTATTCTGTACTTTTAAACCAAACCGCAATGGCACTGTTACTTTGATTTCTCTTTCTGACAGTTAAAAGTAATCAGAAACACAACCAATTTCTGTATGTTGATATTGTATCCTGCAACTTAACCAAGCTAGGTCCGGTGAGAGTAAATTTAATTCAAAAGCTAGTTAGTAAACAGAGTCTTACCTATCAAGACCAATGCAATTTATTGCCAAATTTCTTTCTCACATTACAAAAAAAAAAAATACATGAGTAAACAAATTAGAATAAGAAAGAATAAAATATCTTCCCTTCTATCTACCTAAAGGTTGTCAGAGGTAAATTTTCTTTCACATCTGATTAAAAAGAAATTCCAGATTGCCAGTGTCATGAAATATCACAAACCGTTTATACAGTCCTCACTGCGATTTCATGCCACTGAGTCAACGATGCTAGTCAAGAAGCATTAGTAAGGCCATGTGCGCAGAGGGAGTAAATGTGAAACAAGGATACAAAAATTCTGAGGAACAGAGATAAATGTAGCAAAATAACTCACTGGAGAGAAGTAAAAAAATTTTTCTGAAAAAAAATAACTGAGGTAAAGAAAATATAGAAAAACTATCAAAAAACAGTCTTTTGTCATGAAGCAATGAAAGTATGCGTGTTGTCTTAAAAGCAAAAGTGGGAGATATGTTACAAGTTGTCTGATGTAGCAGTCATCTACTTAAATATTTACCAAGTTCCCAAAATATTAATTCTTTTTGTGCATGTGTGTGCGTGCACGTGTGTGTAGAAGAACCATAGGTCAAGTGTGTGGGGCGGGGAGGTGAGTGGATTCACCAGAGACAGAGCGGGGAGCAGAACAGGCAGACTGACTGAAGTACACTGCTAAGGGGAGCAGCGGGGAGACAGGAGAGGTCTGCTGAGTCATGTGGGAAGCTCCCTGGCCGGGGATGGACTCAGGCCTCAGTGGTGATAGTGCTGAGACTTAACCCCTGGGCCACCAGGGAGGACCTTAATTCTCTTTTATTCCCTAACCTATGCTAAAGAAGTCATTCTTAAATTGAATATACAATAATGACTGATTTTAGAAATGTTACCATATGCCATAAATTAATAAATGTGGCATTTTAGCCTGTTACATTTAAAAACTGAAAAAACATCAATCACATTCAATTTGCTTATGATGAGTTAAGTCAAATATGATTCAACATATTTGATTTTTCACTATTATTTCACCAAACATGTTCTTATTTCACTGAAGCGACCTTCATCTTCAAATGCTGATTCAGATCGCCATCCCTGAACCAACAGCAGGGCACCTTCCTGAGCTTTCTCCGAGGCCAACACCGCCACCCAGCGGCAGCAAGCTTGATGACAGCTGGAGAACAGGAACCAGGAGGGCGAACAAAACCCGGCCTTGGAGAAGGATCCAAGGCAGCCCTTGGGCCTGGGCGCCGCAGCTGCTGGAGACCAGGCGGCAGCTACGGGAGCGGGGGCGGGTGGGTGGGTGGGTGGGGGTGTGTGTGTGTGTGTGTGTGTGTGTGTCAGGGCCAGTGGCTCTGGGCAGGCACAGGGCACCCTGCGTTTCCCCACCGTGCTGCCTGCCCGTCAGCAGCGCAAAGCATAAGGTCACTTCAAATTTCACCTCCCATTTAATTTTATTTTTAAGTATCAGCAACACTTGAATGATTTTCACTCACACTCAGTAATTTTGGGAAATGTGAACACACATTATTAACTATACATAAAAAAAAAGAACTGCTGCGTAGTGGGTGGGCATGGCAAGGTTCGGGGTGTCAACTTCAAACATACTAGAACGGCGCTCTCTGGAGAACAGGATGCCTTTTAACATAGTTGTTTAGTGAAAATATTAATCTTTTTTTTTTCATAGTTGTGTCAATCATTTACGACCAAGATCTCAGAGCCGTGAGTAACCCGAACATCGTTTATTTGACAGAAGAGTAGGACAAACACACGAACATTCCATCGCCCTTTAAAGTCTTTGCAGTAGCAGGTATTTTCCAAGTAACCCTGGGCTTGCCCCTTCTCTCCAGTCTGCATGTTCTTTCCAGTAGAACCAGAACACCTAAGACCAGTCAGCACGACCAAATAAATTTCATTTCAACAGACATTTAAACGCACAGATGTGCCAGCTGCGGCTGCCGTCGTGACGGCCCTCGTGGCGCCGCCGCTCCTCACGCGCTCTGCTGACCACCACCGGCATCGGCGCTGACCCGCCAGGAGAAGCACCCCGGAGGCGGAGAAGGGCCTGGCGAAGCACTGTGAAAACCTGGACACCCAGCAGTGAATTGCCTCAGCTTTCAAATCAAACTCAGAACACCGCAGAAAATAAAGAGGTTTGAACACATGGACAAGGCAGATTTTGAAATTCAAGCCAAACACACACACACATCTGTACGGATTAAATCTATATAAATTTTCCAATTATTCAAACTTTGGAAAGTTACTGCTTTTGAAAGGCGCCTCTTTAAGTTCTAATCCCAGCCTTCAATACCGAAGCCCACCCGCCAGGCCAGGAGCCGTCGCCTCCCCTCACCGCTGAGTCCCTAACGCGAGACGCCGCTTTGCATCGCCGCAGACCCAGCGACCTGGCACGGACAGCGCGCGGTACGTCCGCACGCCAGACGTCCCCGGGACATCACTGTCCTCTGAAACGGGCGCCAGGGACGAGGCGTGGGACATGCTTGGCCAGGGCAGCGGGATCTCACTGCAGGGTCCCAAGCTTTGGGTCCAGGAGCAGGACGCTGGGCCAGGTGCCCACGCAGCAGCACGTTTCTCTTTTGTTTCTTGCCAGAAAATGAGTGTAAATGAAGACCCTCCACTCCCCTCACAACCCCCTTGAACAAATGGCCTCAACCTGGAGCGGAAGAGGAGGGCTGTCCCCGCGGCTCTAAGCAGCATCTATGTGGCCAACTTCCGCCTGGTGGGGGCAAACCGGCCTGGGCTGCGGCGGGCAGGGCTACGGGGCAGCGGGAGCTGAGGGCTTTCCTCACGGGCCAGCAGGCGGGGCCGGCGCGGCCTCGCCTGGGTCCCAGGCAGCTCAGGAGGAGGACTGAGGTGGGCGCCCACTCACGAGGCTCTGCCCTGGGCGCTGCAGGCCCGAGGCTGCCGCGCTGGGCCGCCCCGTCTGTGCCCTGCATGCGGGAGGAGAGGGCCAGGCCGGGGACTCGGCCGAGGGTGTGGAAGTCGAGGGCAGGCCAGAGATCGCTGCTGCCCGCGCACCGGCCCGCCCATCACGCGCCTCCGGGGAGACCGTGTACAA